AAAAAAAACATGCTTTTAAATGCTTGGATTTATTTTAGTTATAATATATATCCTAGCGTTCGAAAAAAAATATTTAAACCTAACCTATTTTAACCTTTTAAACCTAAAAATAAGTTCTGTAAAATCAAAATAGTTATTCAAATCTCAGTTAAAAAAAGCTTTGTGGTCCTGAAAAGGACCGATTTTTTAGTTTAAATTTAAGGGCTGCCAATTGACAATTGTTCAATTTAAGCGCGCTCTCCACGGATACGACGGGCCAGCTGGATGTCTTTGGGCATAATAGTAACACGCTTAGCATGGATGGCGCACAAATTGGTATCTTCAAACAGACCAACCAGATAGGCTTCGCTAGCTTCCTGCAAAGCCATCACAGCAGAGCTCTGGAAGCGCAAATCTGTCTTGAAATCCTGAGCTATTTCACGCACCAACCGCTGGAATGGCAGTTTACGGATCAACAGCTCAGTACTCTTCTGGTAGCGACGGATCTCACGGAGAGCCACAGTTCCGGGGCGATAGCGATGGGGCTTCTTTACTCCTCCGGTGGCTGGCGCACTTTTACGTGCGGCCTTTGTAGCCAGTTGTTTGCGTGGGGCCTTGCCACCAGTCGATTTACGAGCAGTCTGCTTTGTACGAGCCATTTCAATTTCCAAATTCACTGTTCTCTTCGCGCCTCTAATAACACAATAAACGTGCTGCCCGTTTCGCTACCTCTTTATATACCAGAAACGCCGAGGGTTGAAAAGAGGGAGATAGAACGACATGCCATTTCGTCTATTGGGTTTACGAAGAGCGGGAAAAGCATATCGCTCCGAACTCTTCGAATTCTCGTTGAATCGGTATAAAGAGCGGTGGCTCCTTCCGCGTTAAGTTAGTTCTTCATAGGGATGTCGAATTTTTTAAAATTATCGTATCGATAATATTTTCTGTTTTAAAAAAATATCAAAATGATATAAATATATATCGCTACAAAAAATCGATATATCGATGTTTTTGATATTTTTTTTAGTTTCCTAAAAAGTTTTTTAGAATATAAAATAATAGAAATAAAACACAGAAATTATTATTGCTGTTTAGTTTTTCTCATCTTTAGTTTTTTAAATCCATAAACATAACATTTGAAAATCATAAAGAAAAATATAACATAAAGAAAAATATAACATAAAGAAAAATAATATTCTATTTCATTATAGTCTTTGCCTGAGATTCGAGTTCTATTCATAAAAATAACATAAAATTTATCTTAAATTAAATTCAAAGTTCTTATATAATAAAAAAATAAGGAGATTGTATTCCATTATACAGTCTTGGTCTTGTATAAAGTTAGTGCCAATATTTGGCATTAATAGACTTTAAAAATACCCGTTGCGTTATGTGATTATCAGTCATTCGACTCCTTGAATCACAAACGACGCATTTTATAGCCGAAGCCAGTCTCTCCGAAGGCACTGAACTCCCAGGTGTAATTAGGTATTTCCGAGGCGAGTTGATATAATCCTGGCATAGCCACCTTGTGTGCATTCCAAAATGTTAGGGGATTACTTTCCCATGATGTTTGGGGCAAACTGAGATATAATTTTAGCTCGCTGTGATCAGAGTTTTGCAAGGAAAGGCCCTTTAAAATTGACCTATTGTGGGCCTCCATAAAATCGACACACTGTTCCTCTGCATTGTCATCAGAAATCTGTAATAATTTAAAGGAAATTAATATATACTTTATTTTTGCTTCGGAATAATAAATAAATTATTAATGAATTAATTACGTTGAGTTATTATTATTATTAATGTAAATGTAAGTATTACTATTAAATTATATACATGATTACGAACTCTAAAATTTGACATACCGGGGTTTCCTTTGAAAAGGTAGAAATTTCGTTCAACAAATCATTTGTTGCCTCCTGTTACCCCGATGGGTGATATGTACATTTTTTTAAATCTTGGATCAAGAAAAGATGATTTCACCAATATTTTATTTGATTCAAGTGTAAATTTTATTTTACAGTGTAGTGTAGATTTTATTTCGTGTGTGTGAAATTTTGCGACATTTTACTGCGAAATCTACATTTTTTTTCACACACACGAAATAAAATCTACACCTTCGCGGTAAAATGGCGCCAAATTTCGGCGTCATGTTGTACACATAAATATATATATTAGCGGTGCCCACACAAATACATTTACATATGTGCACAATTATACTGCGAATTTCTTTTCACACACACAAAAACACTGAAAAGAAAACGCTATTTTATATATAAATTTATTAATATGTACAAACCTTTTTTTGCTGACACTTTAAAAAAAATTCGTTATGTTTATTTTTAACATGTGACGTCAAATTTGTGGTGTTTCCACTTGTTTTTACCATTTTATTGCACAAATTACACTTTGCTGTTCCGTTTTTTATTTCACTATAATTCTTTTTTATTAGCTTTATGTCCATTTTTCTCACACCGCCGATCTTCACTTTTTTCAATTTGATCAAAGAGTGACCAACGCAGAAATATCAGATAATATCAAAAAAAACTATCGCACACTCGATATTTGGGGGAAAAAAATATTACGATATAAATATATTATTTTTCCCAAAAAATATCGATATATTGATATTTCGATATATTATCAACAACCCTAGTTCTTCAGTGACTATCGTGCAGTGTCGTATCGTTAATAAACAAAACTGAAAAATGACTGGACGCGGTAAAGGTGGCAAAGGTCTGGGAAAAGGTGGCGCTAAGCGTCATCGCAAAGTCTTGCGTGATAACATCCAGGGTATTACGAAGCCAGCTATCCGTCGTTTGGCTCGTCGTGGCGGTGTGAAGCGCATCTCTGGTCTTATCTACGAGGAAACTCGTGGAGTTCTAAAAGTGTTTTTGGAGAACGTAATTCGCGATGCTGTCACCTACACCGAACACGCCAAAAGGAAGACCGTGACGGCCATGGATGTTGTTTATGCCCTGAAGAGACAAGGACGCACTCTATACGGCTTTGGCGGTTAAAATTATTTTTGTACAGCCTGTACTTAACTATGTATACAATCGGTCCTTTTCAGGACCACAATTTGTTTTAACAGAAAAAGAGAAATAAATTTTAAATAATACCTACATATCTTAGCCTATTAGACAATAAATATATCTAATTATTCAGCACGCTTAAGGCATGCGGCACCCACCAGTGGACTGAAGTCTACACTTATAGTAAAATATATATTGTAGTTTATACAATTCGTTAATATATGTGTATTATACAATCAATAAAAACGCACAATATGACTTAAATCTAAAAGTTTTATTTTAAAAAGAGAAAGAAACTACTAGAAAAGAAGCTTCATATATACATATATTTTTTTCAATCACACTTCACGCAAATAATAAATACGAAATTCTTGAATTTTATATGTAAGTGGAATTTCAACTTTTATTTCTATCATAGATACATAATGTATCCACAAACATACATTTTTCTCCAATAAATCTGTTTAGAATATTTTTTTGTTGTTTAAACTATTGTCTTGGCCTAATATTTCTAATGAAAATTTGCATTCTTCTTAAATGGTTTGGTCGTCCTGAAAAGGACGTTTGGGTTTATATATGAGTTTATGTACAAGCAGGTAAGATACAGGACCGCAATTAAATCTTTAAGCCTTCTTCTCGGTCTTCTTTGGCAACAGGACAGCCTGGATGTTGGGCAGAACGCCACCCTGAGCAATGGTGACACCAGAGAGCAGCTTGTTCAACTCCTCGTCATTGCGAATGGCCAACTGCAGATGACGGGGAATGATCCTAGTCTTCTTGTTGTCACGGGCAGCATTGCCAGCTAACTCGAGAACTTCAGCTGCCAGGTATTCCATAACGGCAGCCAGATAAACAGGAGCGCCGGCACCAACGCGTTCAGCATAGTTGCCTTTGCGGAGCAGACGGTGAATACGTCCAACGGGAAACTGAAGACCAGCACGATTCGATCGGGACTTTGCCTTTCCCTTCACTTTTCCACCCTTGCCACGGCCAGACATATTTTTTTACTTCACGTTTATTCACTTCACACACGAATATTGAACACAACTTAGGAACACCAATTTATACCTATGCGTTTGCCTTTGCGTTCCGTTGGGGGTAGGTCGTTTCTGATGAACATTTTGAATAGCAGACCTGAAAACCCTGCTCGAATAAAAGTACTAAAAACTGATCCAACACCAACTTTGGTATAAGTGGAAGTGAAGTGAATTTTAAAGTAATAATGCCGCCGAAAACCAGTGGAAAGGCAGCCAAGAAGGCTGGCAAAGCTCAGAAAAATATAACCAAGAACGATAAGAAGAAGAAGCGCAAGAGGAAGGAAAGCTATGCCATCTACATCTACAAGGTTCTGAAGCAGGTCCACCCTGACACTGGAATTTCGTCTAAAGCTATGAGTATAATGAACAGCTTCGTGAACGATATCTTTGAGCGTATTGCTGCTGAGGCATCGCGTCTGGCGCATTACAACAAGCGCTCGACCATCACCAGTCGGGAAATCCAAACGGCTGTTCGCCTTCTCCTGCCTGGAGAGTTGGCCAAGCACGCCGTCAGTGAAGGAACCAAGGCTGTCACCAAGTATACAAGCTCCAAGTAGATTTCTCGCTTGATGGGCAGAATGATCGAAAAAGGCCCTTTTCAGGGCCACAACATTATTTCATCAAAGACACCCATTTTTCAATAAAAGTAAATAAATTAATTGTTTGAAATCGTTTTTGTAAGAAACTGAAATTTAATTTATGTTGTTTTAGTATTAATATACTATATTATAAATAGCCAATTCGCGATCGCTATTTTAAATCCAATTAGGATGGATGAAATTTATATTTATACTGTATTAGCATTTATATAATATATTATATTCTTATATTAATACAATTTTCAAAATTACGATTGCTATTTTGAATCCAATTAGGATTAAGATAGTCTTCTAAAATGTCAAGCTAAGCAAAATTGATATTTTTTCTCTTTAAAAAATGTATTGTAGCCCTGAAAAGGGCTTGTTTAATGTAATTTTAGATATCGAAATCTAAAATTGCGATTGCGAAACTGTACAAATATAATGCACATTATCACAATTTATTTTTTTCGCTGCCGTGGTCTTAGCTTTCGGCTTCTTTGCGGTAGTAGGAGCTGGTGCTTTCTTTACCGTCTTCTTGGGCTTAGCGGATGCAGCTGGTTTAGCCTTTGGGGCTTTAGCTGCCTTTGGTTTCGCCGATGATGGCTTCACTTTTGTTGCTACTGTTTTAGCCTTAACGGTACCAGACTTCTTAGCGTCCTTTGCCTTGGCCTTCTCGGTTTTCTTCTTTTCAGCTGTCTTCTTGGTAGCCACGGCTTTTTTAGTTTTCGGCTTCTTGTCGGCAGCTCCCGCGGCCTTCTTAGTGGTGGCTCCGGTCTTCTTGGTCGATACCTTCTTGCTTTTAGTTTTTTTCTCAACAGAAGAAGGCTTCGGCTTGGGCTCCTTTTTGGCTGAAGCCGATAATTTAAAGGAACCAGAAGCACCCTTTCCCTTCGTCTGGATCAGCTTACCATTGGCCACAGCAGACTTCAGGTACTTCTTGATGAAAGGAGCCAGTTTCTGAGCATCGCACTTGTATGTGGCAGTGATGTACTTCTTGATTGCTAGAAGCGAGGAGCCCCCACGCTCCTTCAAATTCTTAATTGAAGCGTCTACCATTTGTTGAGTTGGCGGATGCGATGGTGGTGCTGCGGTCTTCTTCGCTTTTGTGGCAGCAGATCCAGTTGCCTTTTTGGCTGCTACTTTCTTCTCAGCCGGCGCCGGTGGAGCTGCCACAGGAGACGCGGATGTAGCTACTGCTGAATCAGACATTCTTTAAATTTTTATTCACAAAAATAAACTTTTTTTATGCAAAAAATAGCCCATGAACCCACATCCAAAGTCCCTTGTTCGGATGAGAATCGAGGAGGAGAGCAGTTTGACTATGTGTTTGGCACAGTTCATTTGTGTTACAAATGTTTTTTCAAAGGGTGTAATTATTTTTCATTATTTTGTTCTTATGATAATAAAATTAATGTTTGTTTTAATTGCGTTTGAATCTTAAATATTCAAAATTTGAGGAAAACCTTTCTCAGTTGCCGTATATAGATTCGATACTTTTTTTTGGGTACCCGAAAGTGCACGTTTACGTTAATATCTTAAATATTTTGCATTAAAACGTCATTAAAAATATAAAATTGTTGTATTTTTTGTTAATTTACTACTGAAAGTCTTAAATTGAACTTTCAACTACCAGCTATGCAAAACGTAACTATATTTTTATGAAGTATTCATGCTTAAATATAGCTTTTAAAATGACCCTTTCCTGGATAAAATGTGAACTTTCATTTGACATTAAGAAACTGTTTTAGTACTAAACAAGAAAGGAAAGCTAACTTCGGGCGGAGCCGAAGTTTATATACCCTTGCAGTTAAAACCGGATATATATCGCAAACATCGGATATAGTTGGCCGATCCTTATGGGAATAGGAATATATAATCCAATTTATTACAATACAAAATCTAAAAAAAGTCCCAAACTTCTATCTTCAAAAATACGAAAGTTGATATTTCTACCAAATACCATTTCCGATCGTTCAGTTATATGGCAGCTATGGGATATAGTCGGCCGATCCTAATGAAATTTGGTAGGTTGGATCAACTGACCAAGAATTAAATCTGTACTAAGTTCCAGCTTTCTATCTTCAAAAACACGAAAGTTGGGTCATTTCCGATCGTTCAGTTATATGGCAGCTATAGGATATAGTCGGCCGATCCTTATGAAATTTGGCATGACGTAATGTTTTGCCAAAAATAGCTCACATGTCAAATTTGAACTCTCTAACTCTAAAAACACCAAAGTTATACCATTTCCGATCAATCAGTTATATGGCAGCTATAGGATATAGTCGGCCGATCCGGGCCGTTCCGACTTATATACTGCGTGCAAAGGAAAGAAGGGTGTGTGCAAAGTTTCAAGACGATAGCTTTAAAACTGAGAGACTAGTTCGCGTAGAAACAGACAGACGGACAGACAGACGGACAGACGGACAGACGGACAGACGGACAGACGGACATGCTCATATCAACTCAGGAGGTGATCCTGATCAAGAATATATATACTTTATAGGGTCGGAGATGTCTCCTTCACTGCGTTGCACACTTTTGACCAAAATTATAATACCCTCTGCAAGGGTATAAAAATATTATTTTTCTAAAATAATGTAAATTAAAATGTTTAATATTAGAATAAATCTTATCTATTTCCCATTCTGCATATCTTAAAAATTCTAAATTCATTTTCGTCTCAAAAATGGATTGTATATTTTCCACTGGTAGCTCGAAGGTATACGTTGAGGCTAGTAATTTATATTCTGAATGTGTTCATATTACCAATAAACTTTTCTTACTTAACTTTTAGTTACCATATTAAAACGCAAAAAATAAACTACAATTTGTTCTTAGGACTAATGAATTTCATTTGACAATATATACACAATTTACTATATTATTTAATAATATACAACTTATAAATTAGTTTCCAATAGACAATATGTATATTAAAAAAAAAATAAAATGTAATTCAACTTTTTTATAACAAGACCCTTCGACCCTTTGCCGCTTTTGTAAAAATCATAATAACATTATTTATAAATTATTAATAAATGATTATTTTGATGATCCGCTGCTCACACAAGACCAGACATATTTTTGGTTCTTCATATATGTATCTTCCAAATAATGACAACAGTGTATTTCAATGTTTATTTTGTAAACAATTCCATATTTATAAAAAAAAAACATGCTTTTAAATGCTTGGATTTAATTTAGTTATAATATATATCCTAGCGTTCGAAAAAAAATATTTAAACCTAACCTATTTTAACCTTTTAAACCTAAAAATAAGTTCTGTAAAATCAAAATAGTTATTCAAATCTCAGTTAAAAAAAGCTTTGTGGTCCTGAAAAGGACCGATTTTTTAGTTTAAATTTAAGGGCTGCCAATTGACAATTGTTCAATTTAAGCGCGCTCTCCACGGATACGACGGGCCAGCTGGATGTCTTTGGGCATAATAGTAACACGCTTAGCATGGATGGCGCACAAATTGGTATCTTCAAACAGACCAACCAGATAGGCTTCGCTAGCTTCCTGCAAAGCCATCACAGCAGAGCTCTGGAAGCGCAAATCTGTCTTGAAATCCTGAGCTATTTCACGCACCAACCGCTGGAATGGCAGTTTACGGATCAACAGCTCAGTACTCTTCTGGTAGCGACGGATCTCACGGAGAGCCACAGTTCCGGGGCGATAGCGATGGGGCTTCTTTACTCCTCCGGTGGCTGGCGCACTTTTACGTGCGGCCTTTGTAGCCAGTTGTTTGCGTGGGGCCTTGCCACCAGTCGATTTACGAGCAGTCTGCTTTGTACGAGCCATTTCAATTTCCAAATTCACTGTTCTCTTCGCGCCTCTAATAACACAATAAACGTGCTGCCCGTTTCGCTACCTCTTTATATACCAGAAACGCCGAGGGTTGAAAAGAGGGAGATAGAACGACATGCCATTTCGTCTATTGGGTTTACGAAGAGCGGGAAAAGCATATCGCTCCGAACTCTTCGAATTCTCGTTGAATCGGTATAAAGAGCGGTGGCTCCTTCCGCGTTAAGTTAGTTCTTCAGTGACTATCGTGCAGTGTCGTATCGTTAATAAACAAAACTGAAAAATGACTGGACGCGGTAAAGGTGGCAAAGGTCTGGGAAAAGGTGGCGCTAAGCGTCATCGCAAAGTCTTGCGTGATAACATCCAGGGTATTACGAAGCCAGCTATCCGTCGTTTGGCTCGTCGTGGCGGTGTGAAGCGCATCTCTGGTCTTATCTACGAGGAAACTCGTGGAGTTCTAAAAGTGTTTTTGGAGAACGTAATTCGCGATGCTGTCACCTACACCGAACACGCCAAAAGGAAGACCGTGACGGCCATGGATGTTGTTTATGCCCTGAAGAGACAAGGACGCACTCTATACGGCTTTGGCGGTTAAAATTATTTTTGTACAGCCTGTACTTAACTATGTATACAATCGGTCCTTTTCAGGACCACAATTTGTTTTAACAGAAAAAGAGAAATAAATTTTAAATAATACCTACATATCTTAGCCTATTAGACAATAAATATATCTAATTATTCAGCACGCTTAAGGCATGCGGCACCCACCAGTGGACTGAAGTCTACACTTATAGTAAAATATATATTGTAGTTTATACAATTCGTTAATATATGTGTATTATACAATCAATAAAAACGCACAATATGACTTAAATCTAAAAGTTTTATTTTAAAAAGAGAAAGAAACTACTAGAAAAGAAGCTTCATATATATATTTTTTCAATCACACTTCACGCAAATAATAAATACGAAATTCTTGAATTTTATATGTAAGTGGAATTTCAACTTTTATTTCTATCATAGATACATAATGTATCCACAAACATACATTTTTCTCCAATAAATCTGTTTAGAATATTTTTTTGTTGTTTAAACTATTGTCTTGGCCTAATATTTCTAATGAAAATTTGCATTCTTCTTAAATGGTTTGGTCGTCCTGAAAAGGACGTTTGGGTTTATATATGAGTTTATGTACAAGCAGGTAAGATACAGGACCGCAATTAAATCTTTAAGCCTTCTTCTCGGTCTTCTTTGGCAACAGGACAGCCTGGATGTTGGGCAGAACGCCACCCTGAGCAATGGTGACACCAGAGAGCAGCTTGTTCAACTCCTCGTCATTGCGAATGGCCAACTGCAGATGACGGGGAATGATCCTAGTCTTCTTGTTGTCACGGGCAGCATTGCCAGCTAACTCGAGAACTTCAGCTGCCAGGTATTCCATAACGGCAGCCAGATAAACAGGAGCGCCGGCACCAACGCGTTCAGCATAGTTGCCTTTGCGGAGCAGACGGTGAATACGTCCAACGGGAAACTGAAGACCAGCACGATTCGATCGGGACTTTGCCTTTCCCTTCACTTTTCCACCCTTGCCACGGCCAGACATATTTTTTTACTTCACGTTTATTCACTTCACACACGAATATTGAACACAACTTAGGAACACCAATTTATACCTATGCGTTTGCCTTTGCGTTCCGTTGGGGGTAGGTCGTTTCTGATGAACATTTTGAATAGCAGACCTGAAAACCCTGCTCGAATAAAAGTACTAAAAACTGATCCAACACCAACTTTGGTATAAGTGGAAGTGAAGTGAATTTTAAAGTAATAATGCCGCCGAAAACCAGTGGAAAGGCAGCCAAGAAGGCTGGCAAAGCTCAGAAAAATATAACCAAGAACGATAAGAAGAAGAAGCGCAAGAGGAAGGAAAGCTATGCCATCTACATCTACAAGGTTCTGAAGCAGGTCCACCCTGACACTGGAATTTCGTCTAAAGCTATGAGTATAATGAACAGCTTCGTGAACGATATCTTTGAGCGTATTGCTGCTGAGGCATCGCGTCTGGCGCATTACAACAAGCGCTCGACCATCACCAGTCGGGAAATCCAAACGGCTGTTCGCCTTCTCCTGCCTGGAGAGTTGGCCAAGCACGCCGTCAGTGAAGGAACCAAGGCTGTCACCAAGTATACAAGCTCCAAGTAGATTTCTCGCTTGATGGGCAGAATGATCGAAAAAAGGCCCTTTTCAGGGCCACAACATTATTTCATCAAAGACACCCATTTTTCAATAAAAGTAAATAAATTAATTGTTTGAATTAGTTTTTGTAAGAAACTGAAATTTAATTTATGTTGTTTTAGTATTAATATACTATATTATAAATAGCCAATTCGCGATCGCTATTTTAAATCCAATTAGGATGGATGGAATTTATATTTATACTGTATTAGCAT